TTAGCCCAGAGATCCAGATTTGTATGTTTGTTTGTCTGTGAGTTTGTGTGTGTCTCTCTCTCTCTTTTTCTCTTTCTCTCTTTCTCTGTGTGTGTTTGTTTGTCTGTGTAATATTTGTATATGTTTACTTGTCTGCATGTGTCTGTGTGTATTATTTTTAGGTTTTAACGCATACAAATACCCACACACAAATACAAATATACAAACACGTACAGACATACATAAAACATACAAACTGTTTTCCTTAACTGTTCAATAAAAATACAATTACTCCGGGAAGATGAAAAAAAACCAAGCAAGCAAACATACAAAAAAAACTGATTAAAAGTATATACATGTATGTACGTATATACATGTACGGGTGTACGTATATTATGTATGCATACAAAGCATATGTGTTGGTTTGTGTATGTGTATGTGTGTGTGTGAGTGTTGCGTGTGTGTGTGTATGAATATGTTTGCAAAAGTGTGTTCGTCCGTTCTTGTGTGTCATAAACAGAAGATAATTAGATAATAGATGGTTAGCATACCTCACTTGTTGTTTTTGAAATTACATATCTGAGATGTTGATGAGTTTGTGTATCATATACATCTACATCAAATCGGTATTTGGGTATGTAAATATTAAACTGTATAAATACATATACGTTCGTATGTATGTGTGTGTATGTATGTGTGTGTATGTATGTGTGTGTGTGTGTGTGTATGTATATATGTGGGCATATGTTTGTATGTGTGTGTGTGTGTTTGTATGTGTGTGTATGTATGCATGTATGTGGATATATGTGTGCATGTTTGTATGTGTGTGTGTTTGTATGTGTGTATATTTATGTATGCATGTGTATGTATGTTTGTATATGTAATTGTATATTTGGTATTGTATTGGTTAATAATGCGATCGTTTGGATTCTGGTCACGAGTGTGATGACAAAGCCTTATGCCTCAAATACGTTCATTGCATGTACAAGTGATTCTCCTTCTATTGGCATGTATGTATGTATGTGTGTATGTATGTATGTATGTATGTATGTATGTATGTATGTATGTATGTATGTATGTGTGTGTGTGTGTGTGTGTATGTATGTATGTATGTATGTATGTATGTATGTATGTATGTATGTATGTATGTATGTATGTATGTATGTATGTTTCAATTCATTTCAATTCAATAATGAGTTTATTCAGCAAAAAGCTAGGAGACCCGAAGATATGACTTGTTGGGCCACCATAAAATTTACACCAAAAATTATAAATTGAAAAGAAATGTTCATATTTCACAATGAAATAATGATAGTTCTATAAATAAGAAAAAATAAGATTAATTAAATTATTTAAGTATTAATAAACCTTCTTAAAATTGAATAAATATAAAGTACATAACGGAAAACAATCGCATTAACAGAGGACATGGTTGAAATAATTAGACTGAATGAGCAAATAGATAGATTTTCTAAATAGAGCAAGGGAAGAAGAATTTT